CCTAGAAGAGATATATTTTTTCCATGTTCTCTGGAGCATGATTATTTGTAGCTGTTAGAAAATAGTACTGTTCCCCTCTCAGCCTTTGAATCAGTCTGGTGTTACTAGCAACAATGACAAGAAGATCAAAAAACAACACCCAAATGATGTAGTAGGGTTTCTGGATAGTCCTTTTTACTCTTTCTCACTGATTAGCAATTTAAACGTGTTTCTTGTGCTTAAACAGATCCCAAAATTAGACACTAAARTTTACAGCAGTGTAATAACCTTCATGATAATTTTTAACTTGCTCAGTAGGGACTTAAGTGCTGCATGCTCCATGAAGACCTGCCAAGTTGTATATCCAGGRTGATCACTTCTTGTCTGGCACTCCAGTCACTCATGGCTGCAGGTTGGCTTATGAATTTGAATGTGATGYAGGAAGAGGACAGGCATTTGCCTGCAGTTTTACCTGTTAGGACAATGTTGGGAGAGAGCAGCTGAACAAGGAAGCAGCAGACCAGCTATACAAATGGAGACCTCTCGTCTTCTTTTCTATCAAGCCAAACCATCCCCTGCAGTTACCCAACAGCCTCTGTTTATTTCATCCTTCTCACCAGGATCTATACMATAATCTTGTGTTTGACTTCAATAGCACTTACTGGGATCCCTCTGTATGCTTCCTCTCTGCTGGCTCAGGGGAGTTGCAGCTGCTAGAAATCTCCAGTCTCTCTGTTAGTGGGAGTGTTACATACTGTCATTCAGTTCAGGTTCTGCAGCCCCACCTCGCTGCTCATGAAAGCCTGTCCTGAYCTGATGTGCTGAGTGTTGTTTTGCTTCACGACACACTCTCACCATTGTGCTCACACCAAAGGGATTTTACTCGAAAGCAAATATACCTTTATGTGCAAGTTGTTTACTATTGTGACATTCAGTCACTAAAGAATTTCTGGAACATAGCACAGCAGCCAAAACACACGGCACACAACCTTGAAAACCATGCCCATTCAGTGCCCAGTGCTGGATCTGTGGCTCAGGCTAGTTGAATGAGTGCGCTGCGCTCTGAGCAGGCTGGTGGGAAGCAGAACCTCACACTAGATTCATTATTATGGGTGTTTTCCTTTAGCTAAAGTGCCSCACGTGCCATTGTCTGACGGCATGTTACCACAATGCCTCTGAGGAGCTTCAGAGTGYCTTTTAGCTTAATTTCCTGTAGTAACCAAGGCCACACACTGCTCTGCTGTGGGGTGTTGTGTGTATGCATGTACCTCTAGTAGCTTCTGAACCTCTTGTCCAATTTCAAGAAGTCTGCTTATTTGCTGTTGGAGAGAGAAAAAGTTTCACGAGTGTCTTGAGMACAGATAAGCAGCTGGAAAAGACCTGAAGTCAGCTGTAAGGACTCACATCTTGAGGGAAGTGAGACTTCTTTGGTTTGCTGCTTGGAGAACCTCTTAATCTAACTTTAGCCCTTCTCGGGGAAAACCTGTACTCCAGATGCCAGAAAAGATGTTTAAAGAGGACTCTGAAATATTTGCTTTGAACTCTTCAGGAATCATGACTAGGATCTGTTAAGAGGGTTAAGTGAACAATTGTTTGTGAGTTGAGTGCAGATCACTGGAGGACTCCATGCACCTAGCAGGAGGAGATGCTGAGGCCAGGTGTGTGCCTAAGCAATAACTGCCCTTTACAGTCCCATTCCAGTTACGCAGTGTCCAAAGCCCAGACTCGACTATATGTTTCTGATGTGATTAAAAAAAAAATAATAGTATTTTCCTAGCATTGTATCTGCCAAGGGCTCTTGCATGCTTGATTTCAGCATACTGCTTGATTCCCAGGAGTTTTCTCTCAGRTGCTGTTCTGGAGGAACACAGCTGGATGCAGTGTTTGAGTTGGTGCTCTCACTGCAAGTGACAGCAGCACAAATTGCCTTCTCAAGAGAAACCCTGAACACACTCTGGTAGTGCCCTAAGCCCCACTTCTTCCCATTTTTAACAATGCAGTCCTTATTTTGGTCAGTGGAAGTGCATGCCTTATGTAAGCACATGCACCTACTCATTGGATCCACCTAGAGCAAGAAGAGCTTCACCCTYTTCTTTAAAATGAGGTCTCAGTATCCTAAAAGTACCTTTCAAATGCAGCTTCACGATCTGCATAATTGAAAATGTTGCTCTAATCTCATTACCTCCCTCAGGCAGCTTCTGACAAAAGGAGATTATAAATGAGAGTTTGCAGTAAACATAGCTATAAAGGGGGCATCTTTTATGTGTTTGTCATGTATTCAAAGCAGTTTGGGCATAAGCACAGGGAACTCAATTCTATTTCACCTGAAATGCCTTTATGTTTATTAAATTAGGAGTGGCATTAATACTAGAACATATCCAAATCTTTTCGTGATTTTGCATTTGTCATAACTGAAGGATCTTGCTAAGTATTTCTCTATACCTCTAAATAACATTGCCTGTCATGTAATATTTATCTCAGATTTTCCTTAGTGACTTTGTATCAGAGCTGAAAATGAGCTATCACGGAAAATAAAATGGGACTGAAATAACAGTCCTTTGTATTAAATTTAACATTTGGCTTCTGTCCCAGAATTTTCCACATCCATATTAGAATCAGATGGTAGAGTAAGATGAAAAGATCTCCTGGTTGGGTTTTATTCTGATCCTCATTAAAGGGCTGATAACAGATTGAAGGCATGATACTTGTTGTAGTAAAAAACCTGCTGGATCAAAGGCTGGATGGAAAAACTAACAGGCTGATAAACCTTCCTGCTGGATCATGTTTCAGTATCATAGAATCATTCTGCTAGTGGATGTGACATATAAAAACTCCAGTGTGAGAGCAAAAAAGCCCAGGCTGGTGGGTATAACTACGGTGGGCACACACTTAGTAGCTGAGCATAAGCTAAGAAAAAGTAGTGTTGGTGACAGCACAGKGTAACCACATATATTTTAATCTCAGCTATTTGCATTCATGAAAGACACTGCCTTGTCCTGACTTACCTGTGAAACTGCTATCACCTGTGAGGTGACAACATAGGGCAGCCCCACTGGTATTGATCAGCCTTCTTCAGAAGTTGTGCATTCCCTACGCTATCCACAAACCAACACTTGCCTGAGATTCCTTTGGCAATCTGGAGGCAGAAAGATCAAAGGAACCCAAATAGTCTTCAGAAAGCCATTTTCTCTTTACTCAAAGCAGCTTGTATAGTTTTTATGTATTATTTGGCTTAAATGGTACAGATGTTTGCAGGCTCTGGGTGTTCTATGCAAAAACAGTTACTTTTGATAAAATGAAGGAATGGTGCTTTCTGGTCTTGCTGCTCTGCTGTAGTGGAGACTGCAAGCATGATATTGGAGCTATAAATTAGATTTTGCAAAGCAGCACTTCTGTAGGGAGTCTGCTGCTTCAGACCATGGGCTACAATCAGCATTTTTCATGGAGATATTTTGCCTGTGTTTTGTTGCAGTATCTTCAGCAACAGAARTAGAGCAACAGTTGATCACAAAGGGCATCAAAGAACAAATATGCTTTGTGGGTATTTTATTCTGCTTTTCTAAATGTAGCTGCTTTTTAAAGGCTGGTATGTTGTTTGAGCTTATAGGCAGGGAATCATTTCACTGGTACTGGCTGCTTTCAGCAACAATGCCAACATCTGAGATTATACCCAGTGCTCCTTCTACAATCAATGGAGAGAAAGGTGCATGTTTAGAGGAGTAATTAATCTGATTAGACTTCTTTCCAGTGAGAGAGTTTGTGTTTTAGAAGAGCCTATTTCCCTTCCTAGCAATAATTAATCCTAGCATCTTTAGCTCAGGAGGTGTTATCTGCAGTTAGGTGAGGATCCTGCACAGCATGTTTCTGAATAGCACTGTATTATCACTCGGCTAGTAACACTGTTCATATATGAAAGCCTTTTTTTTTTTTTTTTTTAGTTATCAGATTGTCCCGGGGAACACATAAGGAGATCAGTTGTGTATATAARGAATGCTTGGAATGCTTGGTTCAGTCTTTACAAGGTTTTTACCACTGATCATTCCACTACTTTAATGCTTTCTGTGAAAGCTGTTTTGGTAGTTGTGTTGATCCTGTCTTCYTCAGGTACCAGTTCCATGTCTAACATGTTTTTGAATGAAGTGTATGTCCTGTTGGGTACTTGGACAATGCTAAGGGACTAAACATCAGGCAAAAATCTTGAGAAAAAATGGGACCTCCTTGCACTCTCTTGAAAACAGCTTCAAGGAGCTCAGATGAATGGAGCTGTGGTGCATACATGACTGTTTTCAGGAGCGTTCAGAACTGGGCCACGGGGTAAAGTGTATTGGTGAACAGTGTTGATGCCCTGTTTATTTAGAATCACCWGAACCATAAGCATGGATTCATTCAAATAGGGAAAAGCCCTCAAGGCTGGTCTCCTTAAGATGAGTTTGCCATATATGACAGGGCACAAAGGGTAAGTATCATTTTAGGAGACAGAAAAATGTCCTGTGAACAACCCTCAGGAAACAAAAAAAGAGTAATACATAATAACTAAAGAATCAAAGTTATTTATGAAGTGTAAATGGAGTCACAGAGCAGGAGCAATAAGGTATTATGGTTCCCATATTTGTTATTTGTCACTGTATCATGCTGGTGCAAGCAGATTGATTTTCATAGGATGATGGTTGCTGGAAATGGGTTCCCTGAAAACCTTTCGTGTTCACTACCCTGAAATCTATAATTACTTTTATACGTCTTTGCTTTGGTGTACAGTTCTGATCTCTGGATTACAGACCTCCAAAACCACAAGGCTCCCTAGTATGGTCCACTGAGCATTCATTTTCCTCTGATTAATCTTCTGGTTGATTGTGTAATTATTTTTTCTAGGTAAATATGAATTCTGTTTCTTTAATTAATTCCTTCACCTTCATTTTGCTCTTGCCTATTCCCTGCTTTGTCAAGGTCTCCCACTACTATTTGTAGTATTGCCTAGTCACACACGCAACTTTTTCTTTCTCTATTTTTCTTCTCGTTTACAGATTTAACTGAAATTGCACCGTGCATTTTGAAGATGTCACCAACAGATCAGCAGTTGAACAAGCTTGCGAGGAGGCTGGGACCTGAATGGGAGCACGTAGTTCTGTGCTTGGGTTTGTCCCATACTGACATCTATCGATGTAAAGTCAATCACCCTCACAACCTGCAGTCACAGATCGTAGCTGCATTTGTGCTGTGGAAACAGCGTTTGGGGAAGAAAGCAACAATCCAAAGTCTGCATACCAGTCTGATGGCAGAGGAAGTGGATCCTTCTGTGATACAGTGCATGCTTGAGTGAAGCCATGCTGTTTATTCAGAGCTTCCACGTACTTTGTTAAATTAAATAAAGAGGATGGGAATGTACGTTGAAGATTGGATGCCTCGAACTGGGAGAAAAATGGGGTTGGGAACTGTGATTTTATTAAGCTTAAACATTCCAGTTTTCTGTGGCATCTTGTGACTTGTAATTCTTTTCATGCCAGATTAATTTTTAGCAGGCATTAAAAAAATGGATCACTCTTTCCTGTTCGCTTTTGTGCTATTTCAGTGGTGATATAGGGTGACAAAGTTCTTGCAAGCAGGCAAGCCTGCAGTGAGTTCAGCAAGGTTTTTGATTTCACTGAGGGAGCAAGACTTGGTTTAACTTATTCTCTGGACTACGAACAGCCTTTTTACTGCTATTCTGTGCTAGTTCCCTGTTATCCCAGCAAGAAATGAGACTAATCACCATTACTAATTTAGCAATTTTACAGCAGTTATTGCAGGTGGCTAATTTCACATTTATAAAAGTCTCAGCACATACAGTTTCTTACTAGGATAGATGGCTGCCACCTTGGTCTGCCTTTGAAAAAGGCCCTAAATGGAAGTAGCAGGAACATAGTGTGCCTGTGAGGGTTTCTGGTGTTATTATTTAATGGGTGTTGGTTTCTGCAGACAGACCCTGCACGCATGTGCCATGTCACAGGTGGGGAGTTCTCAGGGAAAACATGCAGTAGAGATGTGACCAGAAGGAGGCAAAACCAGGCAAACTGAGCAAGAAGCACCATATAAAAGGGGACAACCTCTAAGTTGTCCRTGTTTGTCTCTGCTAATAAACTGGGAGCCAGTCTGCTGCCTGCTGAGTCTTTGAGCTGTGCTCTGTGTCCAGGCAATCTCCTTTCATGGTAAGGTCAGGCATCCATAGGCACATTGCTCTGACCACTGCACCCCAAATGGGTAGGGAATTTTGCAAATCCTTTCTGGTCAAGATGAACTTCCCACTGGTCTCCCTCCTGTTTGTGCCATCCACCAGGCTCCCTTGCTTTCTACCAGCTTTTCTGTGCCTAGCTGGGGCAGATTTGACACTGTTGTCCTTAGTTCTTTGCCCGTGTAGTTGTACCACCAGTGATGATAAGATTTTATGCAGAAGAACTGTAAAGCTTGGGCTCCTCTCCTTCTTCCCTTCTGTCAAGGAGATTTTATTCCTCCTTGAAAAAAATACTGAGGCTTTTACTGATCCAGTGGGGATCAGTCTGCAGAGTATGTATCCAAAGGCAATGGAAGTGACCAGCTGCTCTTTGAAGCCTAATGATAAAGAGGCARAATATGTTTTAATTCTTCCTGAGCAGCTTGCTGTATAGTAAATGAAGAACAGAGTTTTGATGCTGAATTTCTAGGTCTGTTTATGAATAAGTTATTTTAGATTGTTTCATCTGCAGAGTCATTGCCAAAGAACTTCCTATCCCACAAAATTTGTTCTGTTTAATTTAACAACTTAACAGCCTTGTCTGAAGTCTTTATTGGGGCAAGAATGAACTTTACTGCTTTTTATTTTTAAAAATTTGTTATTTTTATACGCGAATTTTGGAAGACATGGGAAATTAGAAAAGGCAAAGAGATTTTAAAGAAATCCTATATGCCATGGTTTTCAGAAGCGTGGAAACAGAAAATATATCCTGGCAAGATCTGCTCCTGCAGGTTCTGAAGCAATCTGGTAGTATTTTGGTTTTAATCTGTATAACATTTTAACCTTTAGTAAATTGTGATGCTGTTATACCTCACTGAGATTATAACTAATCTTATCTTCTCACTGAGATTGTAACTAATCTTATCTTATTCAGATCTTAACTATTCATATCCTACTTCCAGAGTTTAACTCACCAAATTCCAGATAAACAAGGTTAATCAGTTTGGTGTTTTGATTAATTTATTTTTTTCTGTTTCATGATGCTTAAATGCCAACATATTGTTTTTTAGGTGCAAAACCATTCCAGAGCAGGTGTACAGGCATTTGGCAAATTCATATGAGCACAGTCCAGCATAGGGAGTGGGATGAGGACTCTGAAGGAATGCTGACAGTGAGATTGACAGGAGCATTGCTTGCATATTAGAGAGGCAAAATCAGTCTCCCTAGCAACAGTTTGGAGGGAAAAAAGCTAGAGATCGTCAACAGGARAAACTACTGAAAATGTGATTTAGAGGAAGAAGTTGACTCCCAGTGTCATAAATGTAAGTACCTTATATTGTTCTRAACCAACATGGACCAAGTCTGAATACAAACTGGTCTGCAATGCAGTTGATCCCCGGTTAACCCAGAATGAGCACAGTGCTCCAAGGAGGCAACCAGTCTGGGTGGTAAAGCAGTGGGATGGGCACACTCATATGACCCTGGTACCTTCTCCTCTGGGTGAACTGTACATTTCTTGTTCTTCCTTTCATGAAACCATTGAATGGTTTGGGTTGAAAAAGATCTCCAAGATCATCTAGCTCCAACACCCCTGCCATGGGCAGGGACACCTTTCATTACAGTATTTTGCTCAACCATCCAACCTGGCCTTGAACACTTCCAGGAATGAGACATCCATACATCCCTGGGCAATCTATTATAGTGCCTCATCACCCTCACAGGACAGAATTTCTCCCTAATGTTTAATCTAAACCTGCCCTCTTTTGTTTCAAGCCACTTCTCCTTGTCCTATCACTACACGCCCTTTYAAAATGTCCCTCTCCAGCTTTCTTGTAGGCCCCTTTTAGGTACTGGGAGGTGCTATAAGTTCTCCCTGTAGCCATCGCATCTCCAGGCTGAACAGCCCCAACTGTTGCAGCCTTTCTTCACAGGAGATGTGCTCCAGCCCATGGTCTGCTGGATGGCCCTGCTCTGGGCTCACACTGGCACTTCTATGTCCTTCCTGTGTGCAGACTCCAGAGCTGTTTGCAGCACTGCAGGTGGACACTTACAAGAGTGCAGAAGAGACAGAGAATCACCTCCCTCAACCTGATGGCCATGCTTCTTTTGATGCACCCCAGGATATGGTTGGCCAATGTCAGGTTATCCATCACTAATGTACTTAGAGCATTTTTAGTGCTTAAAACAACAACCTTCAGTAGATAGGAAGTTTCATGCCAAATAACACTTCCTTTCAAGCCAGGTTTCCTTCTGAGTATTTACTGTGGGCCACTGAAAATGTGATGGGTAAGTATCAGATCAGGTAATTTCTCCACCTTCTTTACRTGGGCTAAATGCTACAACCCTTGCACCTGGTACTGAAATTACAGGAGTCTCAGCTAGACAAGGATTATAAAACCTGGCCTCTCATATTGTAGAACAAAGCATGTAATTCATAATTTGTAGCTACTTTCACATTCCCAGGGCCTAAATGAATGCTGTAATACTTGATTTGCAAATGTTGAAGCAAGAGGTTTATTTATTTTATGAGATTGTTTCCATTGCTGTTGTTTTTTAATTCATAGAAATGTTCCTATTAGACTCTTCATTTTTATTACAGCTTGTTTTTTCACTACACAAATGCATGGATRCATTTAACTGACAGTAGTATTCCTTTAACCCAATGGAGTTTTCTATCCACTTAAAAATATTTTTCTTCTGTATGTAATGCTTTATTTTGAACAAGGATGCAATTAAGACAATTTAATTCTTCATATGTATGGCAAGGCCTCTTATTCTCTTTCAGAAGATCTTATAATGTTTATTTTTTCTGTTAATTTAGAAGCAAATGTTACTTACTTAAATCTCACTCATAGACAAGCCTATGACTTGAGTGTTGTTCAGGACTGAGGCTACTCAGTGAGTTTTCCCATCTCTGCCTTTGCCTCACGCTCCCTTGTGCCATCAGTTTGGGTGATGACTAAGGACTTGCACAGGGATTACTGTCCTCCCTGCCTACTGTGCTCCCAGGACTGACTGCCAGGGGACCCCCAATTCCATTGCTCATCATTTGCGGTGAGGTGCGCAGCCACTTTGGGCTTTGGGCTGGAGCATGAGCTTGGCAAAGGTGAGCCAGCAAAACCTTCTCCCTGATGTGTTTAGGTTCCTTAAMCAATGTTGAAAAATACTTGCTGGTGAAACTGGCATTATTGGTATCTACTTACCTGTGGCAGAGTTTAGAGACAGGACAACATGAAGGTGGCCGCTGCTGGACCTTCCACTGAAACTGATGGCATAACTTCCAGTCCTTGGAAAAAGCCATCAATGATTTTCTTCTTTGGTCTCCAGAGGAGACTTTGACATCCCATTTAACTCTMCTAAGTGGCAAATAAGTTCTATAAAAGCTATTTTGTACTCTGCAAGTACAGGTGGATTCTTGGCATGGCAATAGGCAAGGCCTAAGAGCATTACTTTTCACCTCCMAAAATGATCAAAGGAAGGATCTTGTCCGGGTAAAATAATGTCAGAGTGCCAGCATTTAAGAGTGGCTGGAGTGTAAAACAAAAATACAGTCATCTGTGAGCCACTTCTCGCAGATATTGTGGGGCAAATTTCCATCTGGAGTAGTATTTTATGACAGTCATTGATCTATGGAATAAAACATTTTGCAAAAATGGAAAAATAAACAAGGTGTCTTACTGTCACTTTAGATCTGAAGAACTAAAAATAGTTGCAGTGATTTGGCTTTGTTTTTTTTTTTTCCTGAATGCAGTATCTTTTTTTATCTGATGACCTGAGAAAAATTAACATTTGCCAGAAGCAAAAATAAGGAGGTTAAAAAATCAGTGTTTTAGCAGAGTTCTCTTCTGAACATAGCATTTTAGTTGGGAAGAATGATTAATTGCAATTTCCCTTTGAAACCAGTGAGTAGAGCTGCTGATGGCACAGGAAGATTCCTGCCTCTTCTGCAGGAAGAGACTGCATTAAACGTCTGTATGTGTTACAGGTACCATTTCTGACACCAATGTCTGGTCCAAGCCCCAACAGCAAAGAGACAAAAAGTCTCTGACTTGCTTCAATGTAATTTGGATTAGGCTTTCTTTAATTGGTACCTGCTGAAGCATGGTACTTTTATTACCTCCTTGTGAAAAACAGTCTGTCTGGATTTGGGGCAATTGAAAGGAAAGGGAGTTTTGTGGATGTAGTACGCATTCTAAGTTATGGGGTCCTCTTTTCACTGCCACAAGTGCTATTTTGTACTATTCACTTCAAAGTAAGCGCCATGAAAAAAGAAAAAAAAAAAAAAAAGAGTGGAGCCATTCAGCAAAGGATATTGGTAAATCTCCAAAACCAAGATAATTTTGAGTTTTGGAATTATAATAATCCTGTAAAACCTGGGATTTGATGGCTCAGGAGATCATTAATGCATTCATGGAGTTTTCCACCTTGAGATCAAAGTTGCAAAGCCACTGTTGACCCAAAAGAAGCACAATGTACTAGGAATTGAACTGGCCTCAGGCTGTAAGAGGAGCAAACCCATTAGACTCTTGGGCAGGGGCAGAGTAGGCACCAGTGCTTTGTTGTGGCTGCTGTGATTTGTGCAGCAAGGCCACTGCCTTCTCAGGATGACAGTCAGACCTTCACCATACCAGCAGCAAGCTCATTCACATGGGGAGGATGCACTGAGACCTCCTTAACAGCTTCTTGCAGCATATGCTCAAAGGCTGTTTCACTGCCTGGTGAGTTATTTCTCTGTCTTGCCGTAGCCCTTCCTGAGAATGTGTGCCTAGGCAGGATATTTAACTGCCCAAGGTCCTGTTTCTGCATGACAGAGACTCTGTGAACAGGCTCAGGGCAGGTTAGAACCACACCTTAGCTGGGAGCACTGCTCAAGCACAGATCCCATCAGCAGTGTTCGTAGTTGAAGATGCATTTCGAGAGTCAGGCCTAATTGGTTAACAATACCTCTTTTTTCCTTAAATTCCAGGTTGGTTCAGCACTTCCCCYCTGGTTTGGATTCTGTGCCGGTTGAGGGATGCTTGCACTTGTTCATTTGGCAGCTGTAAGTAAACCTGCCCAGTGGCAAGCAGCTCAGGTGTCGGCCTCAAATAGTAGCTCTTCTGAGTATGAAAAGGTGCAAATCATTCTACTACCTGTGACTTCTGTGTGTCACTGTTCACAGTGATTTCAATTTTTTTGTTATTTATTATACTTGTCTATCTTTGCACCACTAATTTCAGATTATCCTGAAGAGTTATCCTCTTCAGTTATCCTCACTAACTGCAGTGGGGTGTTTTTTGCATACACAGTGAACACCATTCTCTAGGAAGCAGCCACACAGAGACTCTTATACTCCCTTGATGTTTATTTTGTTTTTTTAGTGATACTTTCTCTRTCAGGAGGGCGATGCTTACCAGCTCCACCCTTGAACTCCAGGAAGGGACAGGGAGTGTTTCCACTTTGTTGAGACCAGTCTGGATAAGCCAACAACCGCATTTGCCTCCATGGCACCTTAACAGGAATAGTGCTGGGGACTCGGCACAGTCATTGCCCTTGAAAGCCCAAAAGGCACACAGTAGCCCTGTAAAGAAAAGATATAAAGACATACTAGCAGGAAAATATAGTATTTAATTTAATTATCTAAAGCAGGCACACCTCGGTGATACTGCCTTTTATGAGGTACTTTTATTTTTATGGACATATTTGATAGGCTTTATTTAAATAAGAAAGCAATTGAGTAACTAGAGCATGTGGAGACTTCTGATAAGGATCCGTCTTTCAGGTTATTAAACAAACTGCATAGCAAGTGCTCAATTATTCTTCAAAATGCTTAAGCAACACCGTTTGTTCAGATTCCCATCTAGAATTACCTCCCAGTAAGTTGCCTCCCAGTAATTTCCAAGAAGCAGCATGCGAACAGCACACACCCCTGTTCTGGATAATAGACTTCTGAGAAAAATCTCAGGATTAATAAACAAGCCACGAAGAGACCTGGGAAACCAAACCTTCCGAAGGAATTTTACTTGCCTCTCACTAAGCTCTCTGTGACATTGGATCTGATATCTGCATGAGAAATGAGCTCTTGACTTTGCAACATTTGAGAAAGCACTTCAGACTGCAGCTTCCAGGGTGATGCAGACTTTTAATGAGCCCGAGATTGTGCACACTGAGTATTGCTGTTGGAGCAAGTGTACATTGCATGACAAGCAGGGTGGATCCCCAAAAACCTCTGCAGAGCAGAGAGCTCTGAGGAGCATGGATGTGCTTCTCAGTCGTGGTACAAAACATGTCAGTGTGGGCCTGGACGAGGCAGCTGGAGGTTTTCCTCCCCGTGATACTCTTAGGTTTTCTCACCCATCACCAAATATTTGGGCCCCACAGAACTCTGAAAAAAGAAATCCACTAAACCCCTGAAACTAATTGTCTAAAGCTGGAGCCACATAATATCAGCAAGCAAGAGTAATAACAAAGATCTGAAGATAATCATACTGGAATGAAGTCCTGAGCCTAGCTGACCAGTTGACTGTGAATTTGAGGTCTGATTTCTCTGATTCAGCTGTAGACTGGGCTCCCTGTGATGGGTTTTTGGATTCGCTGCTAGCATGTCAGCTTGGGCCTCRGGTGAGTCAGGCATTGTGCATCTGGTAAAGCTGGGGAATAGCAAGCAGGTCAGAGAGGGATGCATGTTCATAAGCATGCAGAAGACAGGAATGAAGGGGTCAAGAGAGGAGGGATTAAGCTTCAGAGCTCCCAGAGAGCTTTCTCCCAGTGCTGTCCCAGGTCCCTGCCTGCTGGTCCCCTGTCCTTAGACTCYAGCACGTGTCACAGGAAGCAGGATTTTCCTTTCTCTTTTCCTCTTCCTAGGCAGACACTACAAACACATCAGATTTCAYGCTGAAATCCAGCTGACAGCATGGTTTCAGGTTTAACATGCTTTCCTAGAAGGGACATTG